GTAAAAGTTCTTCTGGGTAGAAATGAAAGTTCATGTTAATTGGATTTCACAGAGGAGTCAATAGATGGAAAGCTCCTCTGGGCAGGCAGTTCTTTGCTGGTAAGGAGTCTCTCAGCTCTCTTGTGAGGCTCTGTGATGATGCAAATTACCTTGAACCAAGGCAAGAGCAGTATCTCAGGTTTCAGGTGATCACAGTTGCTTCCTGCTTGGGAAATTATGAAGATTTCATTTTAAAATTTGGCTAAATTTTGATATCTTCCATGTGTCAGGCATCCATTTTTTTTTTTTTTCAAAAATCTTGGTCTAATAAAAGATATCACATCTACCATGAGCCCTGATTGCTTTTTCCTCTAGACCAATACAGCTACAACCTGGATACCTGACTCATGGAAGATGTTGAATTATAGCCAGTTTTTAAAATGAAATCTTCTAATTTCCCAAGCAGAAAGCATCAGTGACCGGGGTTGCAGCTGGAGGTGGAGTGGTAAGGGGGTGGAGGCCAGACATGAAATGGGGGGGTTGCACATGGCAGTGCCTGTATTTTTAGGCAAGCAGGCATAAGAAAGTGCTGACAGCAACTCAAAAGTTAGTTCTTGGCCTCTTGTGGGCTAAGATTGTGTGTAGTTAGTGCATATCAGAAGCCCATGACTAAAGATTTTGGGATGGAGAATGCTTGCCTGTAGTATCTGGGGGCATCTGAACCCCAAGACGTCCGGGCATGGGCCTGCAGGTAGGATGATTGCCAATGGATTTGGGAGTGTCTAAAGTCCAAGGGTGATAGGTCTGGGATGGAAGAGGCTTGCTGGTTATAGCGCCATACATGGTGTTTCGAACAATTGAGTTCAGCTCAGTCGATATGATTTGGAACAGATTTGGCCAATTTGACCTGGAACATGAAGTTATATATATATATATATATATATACACACACACACACACACACACACACATCATTTCAAGCCTTGTAAAATGTATGAGCAATTATATGTATCATAACATGTATGAGCAATTATATATATATATATACACACACACATTGCTCATACATTTTACAAGGCTTGAAATGATGGTGTGTGTGTGTGTGTAACCCCCCACCAAAGTTGGTTAAAACTCCTTGAGAGTGACTTGGGTTTTACATATGCTGCATCACTTAGCTGCCTCCAAAAATGCCGTACACTTGGAGCACTTTTACTACCGTTGCTCATACATTGTACAAGGCTTGAAGTGACGGTCCAGATACGGTCGTCATCGTACACCTGGCAACACCGGGGGACACGGCGCCCTCGGGCACCTGGCCTCGCCGTCCGGGTCCCGCCAGGCCGGGGCAGGCTCTCCCCGCCCCCCAGGGCGGCCGCGCTCGGCTCGGCCCGTT